CTCCACCACCTTAACAGCCTTAAAGCCTCAACACTCCCCGGGCCAAGCAGGAAGCAAGATGTCTGAGGACACAGGGAAATAGGAAGTGCTGAGTTTTGTGACTTCCCTAGAAATAAGAGATACATCGTTCTCTCTCTGCCTATGTTTGTATTTGAATATCCTTGTTTTCAGACAAGCAATTTGGATTTGCGTCACTCTCTTCAGAAATGGTAAAAAAAACCACTGGAAATGATCAAAACTAGGCTGAATAGAAGACACCTACCAGGGTGTATGTATTCTCCAAGTGAACGAACACTAGCCTGTGTGTTCTCAATGAAATAGAATAGGGTAAACGGGGATGTATATAGATTTTTGTGTGTGTGACTGAATCAGGACACAAAGGGACCCAGTCTCCCTATAATGATAGTGATTTTAAAGAGATTGACCCAAGGTTTTAACATTCATTTATTCAATAGTCATTCATTCATTCATTCATTCACTCATCCAACAAATACCAGGCTCGAATCCCAATTGCACCGCAACCAGCTGTGCAGCCCGTCAGCAAGTAACTGACCTTTCCTGAAACTGTTTCTCTACTGTGCTGATCACCAGGGGTTTCCTGCAGGGCCAGGGACCTTGACACCATCCAGGTGTGTGTCTGGTAACATGAACTGTGCATGAATCATGTCTTCTCAGATGCCGGAGCCCCCACCTACATGTATGAGTTTGGGTATCGCCCAAGCTTCTCGTCAGACATGAAACCCAAGACGGTGAGAGGGGACCACGGGGATGAGATCTTCTCTGTCTTCGGAGCCCCATTTTTAAAAGGTAATGGCTGTTTGCTGGCTGTGAGCCTGGAGTTAGGAGATGTGGGTTCCAGTCTTGGTTTTCAGGCCTTGAGCAAGTTTCTCCTCTCCTGGTCTCAGTTTCCCGATTCACTCTAACAGGGTTGAATGACATCGGGCAGCCCCCACCCTTCCTCCTGCTCTAACACGCATGAAGGAGGATGTGCACTCATGTGCCCTCAGCCAGGGTCGCTCTCAGAATCCTGGCCTGTGCCATCAATAGGGCAGGTGGTGGGTCACCTGCAGGGCCCTGCTCTAGGGTCAGAAGGTCACTACTCCATTTCCCTCTCAAAAGAGCATATCAGAATGTGAGTGA